TTTTCTTAGAACAAACCATCATGGCTCAGTCAAATTTAAGAAATTACCTGCGTTCCCTTCGCTGGACCCCCTTACCAGTGGGTGTAGGTCTAGCTCTCATAGCCTTCCAACAGTACAGACACACAAGGAAACGTGAGGCAGCTAAATTAGGGCAGCTGCAGCCATGTGATTGCTTAGCAGAAGAGTGGGAAGTGTCAGCATACAAGCTGTTACCTCTCCGCTCTTTCTCCAGAGCATGGGGATGGGTGAACGGTAAGTTTAGTTTGATTTTTGTTGATAGAAACATAAATGGCCAATTCATAACATTGATTATTATTGTTCTGTTGTTATGGCTTTGTTATTAATATCTTTACATATTATGTATATATACATGCATGTATATTATTATTTTGTTAATTTATCAACAGCCTCCTGAAATATTCCTAATACTTTTGTTATCACATATGTAATAAAAGTGAGTTAATGGTCTACAGCTGCATTAGAGTTGTAATAACCTTAGAAGCTACACACAGACACCAAAGATGTTATTCTTATGCTTTTTATACGAGTGATTTTATATTTTTTTTCCTATTTCAGGGATCAAGCTTCCAGAATGGTCAAGAAAATCTGTACTTGGATTCTATGTTCGAGCATTTGGATGCAACATGGCAGAAGCTGAAGTAGAGGACTTGAATCAATATGCTTGCCTCTCAGACTTATTTCGGAGGTCGCTCAAAGAAGGGATTCGTCCAGTTGACCTCTCTGCAGAAGTAGTCAGCCCGGCAGATGGAACTGTGCTGTCATTTGGCACTGTAGATTGTGGATCCCTTGACCAGATAAAGGTGAGATAGTGAAATCTTTTTGTTACTTTATTTGTTTGTTCATTTCCAATTTCCTTTTACATACATTATGCGATTGTATATCAACCATTCGTTAACCCAGTGGCTGTAGGGTTATGTACTGTGTATTATTTTTTTGTGAATTTTATTGCACACAGCTCCATAAATGCTCAGTCACCAAGGAGTCAGGTTGTAGGATTTGGTGGGAATTTTTTTTTCAAATTTTGTAACTATTGATATTATGTTATTAAAATACTGATGACAATAAGAATAGAAAAAAAAATCCAGACACCAAGGAAGAGTATAAACAGAGATATTTAGGAATCCTTGGTGACTAAGTACATGTAGAGCCAATTCTTTTGAAACACAGCCAATAAACTAAATTTATAGTAGGTGGCATGCTGTTGCCAGATAACATTTAGGAGAGTCTTGTTTCTAAATTCTACATGAATGCTAAAGATTAGGCAAAGGTTTGCAATTGACAACACTAAGATATGACTAGGCTATGGTAGTAACATCATTCCCAAGACCATCATACATTGTTAAACCAGAATAATAGCTTATTGCTTTTCACACAAAGTACATCAAAAACAAGTTATATACTTTTTATAGCAATTTTTAGCACATTCACACATTTCATTTTTCATTATTTAAATAAGTTTAATATATAATTTGGCCACCAGATAATGAAATTTAAATATTGATTTTTATTTTGTATATAACTTGATCTCATACTGTAACTCTTACATGAAGTACAGATTGCAGCTAAACCTCTTACAATTAATAACTATGTTTTCAGGGAGTGACCTACCCATTAAGGAAGTTTCTTGGACCCAATTGCTGGACCAAAGGAGGACCAATGATAGTTGATAGTAAAACTGATGATGGTTGTTTCCACCGGTCATGTTTGAATGACAACAACAACATGCTTTACCACTGCGTCATCTATTTAGCTCCTGGTGATTATCATCGCTTCCACTCCTCAGCAGACTGGCAAGTGCACTTCCGTAGACACTTCCCAGGAGAATTGCTCAGTGTTAATCCATCAATTGCTGCTTGGGTGAGAGATCTCTTTATTTTAAATGAAAGGGTAGCTTATGTAGGACGTTGGAAGCATGGGTTTTTCTCCATGACAGCTGTTGGTGCCACAAACGTTGGGTCTGTCAAGGTTTATTTTGATGATGAACTAAAAACAAATCTAAATAAATGGCAAAAGGATAACTTCTTAGATAAACATTTCAAAGGAAAGTCAGTAGAATTAAGTCGAGGGGGTAACTTTGGGGAATTTAACCTGGGTTCTACTATTGTTCTTGTTTTTGAAGCCCCTAAAGACACAAAAATATGTGTAGAAGCAGGACAGAAGGTAAAAGTAGGGCAAGGTTTGTTTAGAATAATTAATTCATATGTAGGGAAAGCTAGTTCTGAAATAAATCATCCAGGACCTCAAAGGTAAATATATTTGTGATAGCAAAGACAATGTATTTAAATATTTCTTGTAAAGAAGTTATCATAATAAAAGATAATCAAGACATGTATAGTTTTCATACATTTTGTCAGATGTGAAAAGGGAATTCATTGTATAACGAAGATAACTACTTAAAAATGTATGGAAATTGTTTGGTGGAATGCTGTACTACCCATTGTAAATATCTTAGTTTATTTAATCTTCACTCTGATGGGAATATTGGACTATGAAATATTTAGGCGGATTTGTTCTTCTGTCAAGTTACAGAGAACAAAACGTCTGTCCAGTTGCTTTATTTTCTATTGGATCATTAACTCCCATACACTATAGAGGTGTTAATGAAAGGAAGCCATATCAATCTGGTCAGTTACATTACCAATACATCAAAGGCAGCATTAGATTGATGACAGTATTAAGAAATGAACAGGATAGTATTCAGACTGCAGGATTTAGAAGTGTTGAGATAATAAGTGTTTATGTATTGTATATTTATATACTTTTCAATAATTTAGTTTGATATAGTTCTTATCTTCCTAGAAAAAAATATGCAATACACATCTTTTTTATATAATAATTTTATATCACTATTTTATTAACATTATTTCTATTAGCATTTGTATTATATTTGTTATCACTATTAGTTATTATGTATTATATTTGTTATCACTATTATTGTTATTATACTGTCATCTTTATTACTGTTACTAGAAGCATCACATAAACATTATCTTTAGTATTTTCAGTTTCCACTAAATATTATTTCTTGCAAGTCACAAGGAACAAGAAAAAAGTATTACATGAGATATAGTTTGTAATGTTTGTAATTGACTTTTAGGCTTAACTAAATTAAAACATTATTTGTTTCCTTATCAAGTATATATTGAATTTGAAAGCAGAATATTGAAATGAATATTTTCAGTGTGCAACAGGATGTAAACAATTGCTCACACAGACATGCATGTTAATATGTCCACATAGTCATATAAATGCTTATGCATCTGGAAACACACACACACTGACAGAAATGTTGGAATTGCTTGTATTAGCTCAGCTCATGTGTTTGCTCCAAAGCTCGGAAATTAGAAGGAAATTTAGTCACAGACTAATGAAAATGATATGATCATTTCAAACAGGGGAAACAGTAAGTTAACAGAGGCTGTTTTGACAATTGTAAATATTGTATCTGGTGCTTTCTTGCTCAAGACTTTAAGGTTACTGTAGCTTGTCTGGGCTTTGAATGTTGTTATTGGCTTTATGTGTTTATTTGTGAGGGTTGCCCCTTGACAAGATTAATTTGTTTTGTAAATTACTGGCCTTTGGATCATGAGGAAAGTAAACAAAACAAATCAGGGATGGAAGTTGTGAGATGGATGGTTAGTGACCTTGTTATCAAGCCTCAGTTTTGAAGTGGTGGAATTTGTATGAAAAGTAGGATTATGTTCAAATTAACAAACTTTTCATTAACTTTAGCCCTAAAGATCATGAAGAATGGATTTGTCAGGATGGTTTACTTTGCCCGGAAATGTATGGTAAAGTCCATGATCAGCTGATTCTGTTGAAGGTTGCAGGAATTGATGCAACACATAGTGCTTAAGGATGACAGAAAAGAAGCATTATGCAAAACAGTAAACAAATTGTTATAAAACTTAAAAGTAATTTAGCACAATAATGAATTTCTGTTTAACACTTTGAGATATGTTAAATTTAGTCAGATATGTTATTAACTTTCATTTGTATTTGTTGATAATACATTTGGAATTTTTGTTACTACTGTTGTATATCCATCAGGTTGTGTATATAATATATATATTTGTACAGAATTTGTAATAAATATTCATATAAACTTGCTATTTTAATGCCTTTGTATGTACAATGAGATTAAATATCAATATTCTTTATGCTGTGTTCAGTGTCAAAAAAAAAAAAAAAAAAAAGAAAAGTTATGGCATAATTATATAGCAACTTAAAAATTGCTAAGGGTGATGTAATAAATTTAAAGAATGAAAGCTGTGATCTTCATTCTGGGATCAGTTTTCCAGAAATGTAATACGTCCTTTACAATCCGTCTGCAGTTATGCTTTTGGGAAGTTGTCCAGTTCTGGACAAAATGATTGTATAAGGATTCTAGAGTAGCTGAATACTGTACTACAAACAGTTATAAAAAGGTGTTTGGACACATACTTGTTGATGGTAATTTTATATACTGCAATTGGAAGCTTGGAACCGTACTTCATGCTCTGCTACACAAAACAATCAACATCTAGGACCAAGAAAACACAAACATTTCATTCAAATGTAGTAAACTTATACCTTAAATTTCCAATTATATATATTTGATTAGTTATTGATATGTTAAAATTATTCCATGTAAATCAACATATCTATCACACTCCAGATTTTTTTTTTTTTTTTTTTTAATGATCCACTTTCTAAGATTGAAAATGTACACAAGTTATGGTAAGTGGATTCACCGATTTTACCTCTGTCTGTCCTGCAATTTATGGAAATATCATTAATCTTTTGTACAAAAAGAAAGACAGGAATGGAGAAACATATAAAATATACATTGGAATCACATTTTTTTCTCAATGCTATCTTGCTGTAAATGTTGTCTACCCTGTCACTGTTCTCTTCTCCTTCCTTTTGTCTGTCTCTTTCATCTTTGACCATCTCTAAAAAGGCATCAGAAAGTATTTGGACTTCATTATAGAAAAAAGACTAACCTCCCATTTGTATTATGGATTTAGGAAGATAATGGCCAAAAAGTATTGTAATTAAAAGATATTTGATGCAATAGGATCATTGATCTGTGTCTAAGCAATTTCACCATTTCATACAGAACTTCCCAAATTTCACCTTTCACTTCTACATGAAATGTTGACTTTAAATTCTACAAAAGGACAGATAATTTTAGATGAATTATATTTTTTACCTGAATGTCCTTTGTGAGAAGTATGTTCGATGATAATTCAATAGATTTTGAAGATCATCAGACATAATGCACAAAACCAGATCACTGTAGTCAATAATGCATTATGTGCCAAGAGAAACTGATGATGTCTTTCAAGACTTTGGGTAGGTAAAGGAAAGGAAGAGATGATGAGAGGAGGAAAGAGTATATATAAACTAGAGAAGGAGGTTCACCATCTTCAAATGAATCCGTGATATAGAATCATCCTTCTACTTTAGCAGTAAGTCTAGCATTATCTCTAGTTTTGTAAGAAGTTAGTTTAGGTGCACAACAAACTGCTAACTTTCTAAATAATGATTATGGGACTAAAATGCTCTGTCAAGACAGAGGAGTTGTCTGAGAGATCTTCATGGGATAAGGATAGAGACCAATGTTAGGATGCTTGTGAGGAAAATAAAGCAGCAAGATGTGAGTGGCAAATGTGAACTCGCTGCACTACTTAGAATGAATAAAGATCTCACACTGTATGTAGATTCAGAAATGGAGAGTCTTGGTGGAAAGTGATGTTTTACCTATGTAAAACACATTCATAGAAACCACTTTAGAAAGTTACAAAGTGGAGATGAAGCATTCAGGGAAATTGCAGACCTTGAATTACTCCTTGGAACAAAGCCAATTTTTATTTAAACTTGAGGGCCAACAAAGATACATACCTAGATTCCCAGAATTGCGTTAAATACTGCCTGATGTTACATGCCTGTACACAAAGTTAAGTTCACTTACAAAATCTTAGATGGTGACATTCATGATAACAAGGTATATAAGTATATACATTAATCAAAGCTTACTGAAGTTTAATGTACAATTCTATTTTGATTTTCAAACTTAAGAGGCCTACCTTGGCAATGCATCACACATTATTACCAAGGTGAAAGAAATGTTATTCAGGATTTTTCTGTCTTGAGTATAAATTACTTTCATTCATGATAATTAGAATTTCACAGGCTACTAATTTTTCGTGTAATCTTGCTGGCCACAGGTATGATAGCCCTGCCATGGAAAACTGCCCTTATTCATAATTCACATATTCAGGGTTAGGTATTACCAAAGTAATGTGGCAGAAATTATGAAGATTCTGACTAAAATCAATCTAGGAAACAGAGCAAAATGAGTCTTCTCTACTCCAGGTTAATAAATAACAGGTGAAGAAAGATACAGGAAACTTTGTCTTGAGATTACATCCATGCCTGAGGTATATTCACCTTAGAAGTTGAGTGCTTACATAAAATGTAGTTATTTCAACATTTGCACTGAGGGAAAAAGGAGAAGTCACAAATAATATCCAAACAGAAGAGACAAAGAAATAACAAAACCACTTTTCAGGATGTGATTGACAATAAACAGCTGTGTAGGCAGAATATCATGGCAAATGAAGTGGTTGAGACTTGCAGTGGCTGCTCTTTTGGAGGTATGAAGACCTGGCAGCGGCACGATCATTATGGATGGGTATGCCTAATACTGGTCAGGCCGGAGTGGAGGTCACTTAGCCATCTCCTGGCGACTCCAACCTTTGGTAGTGAAGGTTCTTTCAATTAATAAGCATATAAAGAGATTGAGACTGGAGCCTGCTCTAATAGTTGTGTATGCTCCTACCGATATTTGGAAAGAAATTGTCCTACACAAAATTTGTATCTGTAGCATACACTTGTCCATAGCGAAATGTTTACATTGTTCTAGGAGACTTCGATGCGGTATTTAGCTGTCATCGAGCTGTCTATGACATGTTTGTTGTTTCCTATGGCTCGAGAGCTGATTCCAGCAGTGACAATGGCCTCCTTTTCCAGCACTTTCCTAGGTCCTAAAAACTGAGGTTCCTGGTATTGGCATTCCAACCCACATTGGTAGACACAATATAGTGATATAGGTACTGTGACCAAGAAGATCAACCACATCCTTTATTGCACTTGTTGGCTACCCTTCGGGTCCACTTCAAAACCCCGTCTCTCCTGTGTTTACCTCAGGGTGTTTCACTTGGACAGATTGAGCGAGGAGTGTTTCCAAGAATTCATTGCAGCTATCTCTGATTGATCCACAATACTCAAAAACCTAACAGACCCTAAAGCTCTGTCCGATTGATCTAAGCACAAAATAATTGGCACAGCTCGGAACCCATTGGAGAAGGGCCTACAGAATTTCATTACACAGGACACATTGCAGGCCACAGATGTATACAGCATGGCTCGACTGAATGGCGATCGGGATTTGCTTACATTTCTTGGTGCACAGGACTTTGACACTGTTGAGAAGGGACAAGGAACAGTATATCAGGAATCTAGCTGAAGATGTGGGTATTTTCTGAACTCCAAGCTCTCCACTGTAGTCCACTCAGTGGATGGACAGACCATTTTAGTTCATGTCGGTTTGAACGCAATCCCTATACCGGATCCACCCATCCGCAAAGAACCTACCTTGATGGAGGTTAAGAAGGCAATATCTAAGCTGAGGCGTGGAAAAGCAGTGCACATAGGTGATATACCTGTTGAATTATCAAAGGCTTGTAGTGAACCTATAGCATGGGTTTTGCATGCAGGCCTGGCTGCCATCTGGCAGTCTGTTATAATTTCCCCAGATCGGTTGAGAGGTGTTGCCATTCCTATTTGGAAGGTAAAAAGGGGTCGATGTGACTGCAGTAACTACTGTGGCATCACACTGTTCAGCATACCAGGCAAAGTTCTCACTCACATTCTTCTGAGATATTACCAAGACTACCTTGTGTCCTAGTTTTGATGCCTTTTGTAACTGGTCCTTGCCCAGCATTATGGGGTTATAATTGGCTGGACCTTGTATCCAACCAACTTCAACAACGTGAGAACAGCACAGGATCTGTTACTTCCACAGTCTGAGACCGCTATACTTGCACCTAGCTCTTTTCCCTGTGGATGACCCTACCCATCAGGCTGCCTATTCCCAAGGCAACCCTAGGTGGAATAGGGCTATGGGGAGACCTAGGAAGACGTGGCTTGGACAGATTGACCTGACCTGTCGTGAGGAGTTAGAGATGGGCCGAGAGCCTGCCTGGCGGCTCGCCATGAGGAACCCTTGTGGCCGGAATCAAAGGGTTCATTCGCCAATGTGCCCGTCGAGTCGGCTCCACTGATTGATTGATTGCAGACAATATAGTCAGTTCCCAAGCTAAGAACGAGAACTTTTCGCATTAAGATCATGCCACCAGTTATATCACTCTCCATAAATAACAGACAAATTACTGTTGTTATTGACAACTTTAATTAAATTAAAGAAGGAAAATGCAGTGGGAATGGAAAGTAAGGTAACAGATCCCTAATCTATATGAACACACTCACTGAAGGTTTATGGAAAAATAGAGATCAAAGTAGCTGTAACTAAGGTTTCAATGTAAAACGACGGTAGTTCTAAGTGATCCCTCGTCTTCATATATATTGTTGGGAGCAGACATACGTGCGAAAGCCAAATTCATTTTGAATGCTAAACGGCCGGTTTGTTAAGATCGTGCGAGGCCAGACCCCATGAACATTCGTTATACGTGACATATACATAGAAGTAAGTGCATATATGTCAGTTTAGACATACAAATCTACCGGTTAAATAAATAAATCTACATGAGATAGTTAAACAGATATGCATTTATTTATGTGTGTATGTATGTCCAGGACCGGTGCTAGGAAATTACGGGGCCTAATTAGAAAACTGAAATTTATGGATGTTTATGTTTCACATAAAAACACATACAAACCAACCAAAAATCGAATAAATATTAAATGCTTGGTATAATACATTTTTGAAAAGCAATATGAAAAGTTTTGTTTTACATTTAATAGAAAGAAAGGCAATTACAGTCATACTCTTTTGGAAAGAGATTTTTCTAGTTTTTTTTTATTTGCAAAATCTTGCAAGACATCTATAATTCAATAGCTTTAGCAATCGCGTTTCCTATGGAGACCATTGCCAAATTGTTGTCTCTTGTGAGACCGTAGACCTCGAGTATGTTTCAATTAGTTTCAGCTTTCAAAAACTTCTTTCCCCTTATCCTAATATATATATATATAATATATATATATATATATATATTATATATATATATATATAATATATGTATATACACACACACACACACACACACACACACACACACACACACACACACACACACACACACACACACACACACACACACACACACACACACACACATGTATATATATATATATATATATATATATATATATATATATATATATATATATATATATATATATATATACCTCATATGATAAAAAGGAGCCTGCTGCGCGGGTTCCCTTCAGGTGCGGGGCCCAATTTCATCAAATCGGTCAAATCGGCTTGAAACCGGCCCTGTGCATGTCCCTATATGTGAATATTCATGGGTCAACCTTCAAACAATATTAACAAACTGCCGAAAATCAGTTGCTTAGGGACAACAAATCTTCAAAGTACAGCAGCTGAAAATTCTAGTAGTAAAGTGCAAAATGAAGGGGAGAGGAGAGGAGAGAGAGAGAGAGAGAGAGAGAGAGAGAGAGAGAGAGAGAGAGAGAGAGAGAGAGAGAGAGAGAGAGAGAGAGAGAGAGAGAGAGAGAGAGAGAGAGAGAGAGAGAGAGAGAGAGAGAGAGAGAAATTATAGACGATGAGCTGGAGGTATAAGACAGTGGTAACATATGGAGGAGAAAAGCAAGTCTTCCAGGTTAAATATCTAGTCCATTAGCGCAACTGCAGTTCTATTCTGAACAAATCATGTATCTTCAAAAGAAAATACCTAGTTAAGGTTCCTTGCCGCAGTTATTTTGTGTTAATGAAAGCAAATAATTCTATAAGTGCAATGCATTGAAATACCAATAAGCTCTAATGAAACAGAGTCTTTTAGCAGTACAATGAAACTCTTCATAGAGGTTTAATCTGTATCGTTTTATTCTTGAAAACTTGACGTGTTTTTCGCCTTATTTTTTTTTACCCGTTCTTGTATCGTTTCCACGAAATCTTTCTTTTCGCTAAAAGAAACACAATCGTTGATTTGATTTTATCACTTAAGTTTATCAGTTGTATTCTATCAATAATTCTGTATAGTTCTTACTTGGGAATCTATATTATATTTGGAATGTTCAAGTATTACCTAAATAGTATATTTTTCAGATTCTTAAAAGAACGGTACTTCTTGTCACCAACGTGTCTCTCGAACGACAACACAACCCGAGTGTTGTCTTCAAAAATGGCTAAAACAGCTCTTTTACACACTTTTATTTGCTATGCTTTGACTGTTGGTGTACACAGTGAAATGGTACAGCTCAGAGTGATAAATGAGATGCCTAATAACGGCTACAGGTGAGATATTCTAGGTTTTCTTTTGTTTTTCAATCGTAGAGAGGTGATGGAAACTGTGAAGTTGGAAAATGTCAAATGATGTTAATGGTACATTAAGCGCGAGTACATTGCATACTGATTCCTAAGGCAAGTGCTTTTCGAATATGTGCATCGTTCACGAATATTCCTTAAGAAAAACCTTGTCACTGATACAAACATTCAATTACGTGCCATGTGTACATTCATTCGCAGTTTTAGTAATCAACACGGACTAATTATTGCATGATATTGGTACAGGATAGATTTGGAAATAATGCATAATGTATATTCCTGGGTATGGTTTACGTTTCATACCTCATTTTGGTACAAGGTAAACAAAAGAAGACACACAAGGGAAGTTGAAACCAGTAAAAAAACGACGGAGGAAAGGGAGAGAGAGAGAGGAGAAACACTTCAACTGTGAGATTTCCTTTTTAAGTTGATAATGTGCAACAATTGATACTTTGTATATATTTAAGGGAAAATGTGAAGACTTTATCATGTGGAAAGGGAGAAACTACACTCTCTGAGAAAGAAAATAATCTGTCTAGGAAAAGTATATGTTGGATATGAAATTAGGTTGCATGTAATCCCAAGGGGAAAATAAGCCCATGGCATTTGGATGGGGTTCTGGGGCCAGAGCCCCTGGTGTAGGAAGGATTTTGGATTGTTGATTTGCCAGGAGTGGCTGGAGTCCAAGAGGGGTGTGATCACTTTGTAAATAATAGCAATACTTTCATTTATATAATTTGCAATGGAAAATAATTAAAGGTTCATGCATACTGCAGCGTAAATAAATGAAACAAGGAATGATAATTGCAATGTTGGGTAGCTGTGTGTCATTGCTGATAACTGAGCAGGGCATGATAAGTATCTGGGAAATTGTGAGGTAAAAGAGAAAGAGAGAAGCACAACCTTTACTAATTTAGTCACAGTAATGCACATTCCTAGTAATTAGAGGGCTTTACCTCTTAAACTTCCTTTCACGGGGAGCTGCTACCCTCCTACCCCTTGCCTTGTCTGCAAAATCTTCACCTTGTATGTTCTGGCTAGATAGAACCTAGGCAACTACACTATGGTGACACACATTGGTGGTATATAAGAGGGTTCATTCCCTAACTCCCTTTCAGGGGGTGCTGCTGCCCCTCTTACCCTGGCCTGGTCTACAAAACCTTCATCTTGTATGTTCTGGCTCCTTGTTACAATAGATGGGAATTGCAACCACTATCTGGTACTCTTTCTTGTTACAGCCATGATATATTGTATGTTAAAGGCAAAACAGTTTTCCGAGCACCTTATACACAGCTTTTTACTACTCTCATAATTCGCAAAGAAAATGCTAGAATGTTACAGTTTGTCTGATAGCAAAGTCAGATTCCTCAGTTTTGGTGTTAGGTGTCATTTCCAATAATATGCAAAAGGTGTGGTTCAACTGGTCTTGTGTATGCATAAATTTGGCTGTGTGTGGCTATCTGGGCTGAATCAGTGACTTTGGTGTGAAATCTTAGGGGCTGAGGGCAACCAGCGATAACATGAAAGATGCCTCTTTTTCATCTGGTATCTCCAGGTTTTCCAGGGTACAATTAAGAACTATTGTCTGTAATTCCCTTATATAGAATTATCAATATCTAGAAAGTCAACAAAAGTTATTTTAAAGATTTTTTTTATAAAGCATTTAGAGTTATCACAATATTCATTTTTTATTACCAAAAATAAATCAACAAGAAATGGCTAATTTGAAATAAGATATACACTTGTGTGGATGGCATGTCAGTCTAGTGGTAATATTTTGAATCAGTCAATTGGATTCTGTGCTTTCTTTAAAGAAAATATACATGAAAAGCAAAACTGTGGTGAAAAGGAGTAAGTCCTTGTGCTCCATGTTGCTCAGACAAGAAGTACTATGCATGATGTT